TCTATCTGAACAAAAAATGGAAGAATGTCCTCGGGTGAGGATTAAAAAAAAAAAATGTCTCCACTGCTAAAGATTTAATAAGTTAGTGGACACTATAGATGAAGGGCAAGTTCCTTCCTTGGTCAAACCAGTGACTACTTATTGGGGTCACAAGCTCGTCATGGGCTTCTCCTCAGCAAGGCTCACCAGGCTACTGCCACTACTGAGTGCCCATTTTAGAATAAATCATTATAAAAGATTCTTCCTGTCATGGTGGTTAAGGTGAGTTAATCACATTGGGAAGATATTTATACTTAATTTGGATCTGCTTTTCCCATCATCCTCTTACATGAGTCCACTGAATGCCTTATTTCCATCATGGTATCTTACACATTGTGGCATCTGTCTTAGTTCAGGCTGCCATCACAAAATCACCACAGCCTGGGTGGCTTACAAACAACAGAAATGTAGTTGCTATAACAAATTGCCACAGACTGGGTGTTATTTATTTATTTATTTATTTATTATTTTTTATCCTTACCTGAGGACATTTTTCCATTTTTTCGTTCAGATAGAGTGGGAGGGAGAGAGAGGAAGAGGGAGAGAAACATTGACGTGAAAGGGACACATCGAGTGGCTGCCACCTGTACAACCCAACCAGGGCCGGGGACAAACTGCAACCAAGGTACGTGCCCTTAGCGGAAACCAGGAACCGAACCCGGGTCTTTTGGGACCGCAGGCCGACGCTCAACCACTGAGCCAAACTGGCCAGGGCCAGACTGGGTTTCTTTTAAACAACAGAAATTTACTTCTCACAGTTCTGAAGGCTGGAAGTCTGAGATCAGGGTGCCAGCATGGTTGGGTACTGGTTGCAGAGCACCAACTTCTCACTGTGTCCTCACAGGGCAGAGAGCAGTGGCAAGGTAAGCTCTCTATTCTCTTATAAGGGCAGTAATCTCATTCATGAGGGCTCCACCCTTATGACTTCATCTAACCCTAATTATTTCCCAAAGGCCCCACCTCCTAATACCATCACATTAGGAGGTGGGCAGGGGTTCAATGTGAACTTGGGAGGGACATATTCAGTCCATAACAGCATCTGACCAAGGGACTAACTTTAGTGAAAGAAGTAAGAAATTAGCTGTCTTACCAGATTCACTAGCCCTATTGTGGACCCCAATAACCAGAAGTGACTGGCTTTAGGAAAGAGTAGAATGGCCCATGGAATACACAGCTCCTGAACCAGCTGGAAGATAACAACTTGAGAGCTTGGATTCCATTTATACTTAGAACCATCGATTCTGGAGGTTTCCACATCCTTCTCATGACTTTCTCTTCTGTTTAAATGAAACACAGTCAGTTTCTGTTGCTTACAATGAAAAACACCAAGAAGAACACAAAAATATCTCTTGTGCCATCTCTAGTTTTTTATAAATTGGCTTCCTCCACAAATAGCTTGTGAACTCTGAAGGCTGTCACCATTTCTAATATTTTTCCTGTAGAACATGGGACTGTACTTTACACAAACTTATAGTTTCTGGGCTTTATCTGATCTTCATTTATTATTTTTATGTTTTTGCATTTATCTTCAGGTAGAGCAGGAAGGAGAGAAACATCGATGTGAGAGACACATCGAGTGGTTGCCACCCACGAGACCCCAACGGGGGCCGGGGACAAACTGCACTGAGGTACATGCCCTTAGCAGGAACTGAACCCGGGACTCTCTGGTCCATAGGCCGACGCTCTAACTGCTGAGCCAAACCAGTCAGGGCTGAACTGCATCTATTTTGATCAGTCTGAAGTATTTTAAAAAATTAACTTAGTTGCCAACATTTAAAAAAAATCAGTCTGGTTGGTGTGGCTTTCTGGCTGAGCACTGACCCATACACCAAGAGGTCACTGGTTCGATTTCCAGTCAGGACACATGCCCAAGTTGTGGGCCAGATCCCCATTGGGGAGCATGCAGGAGGCAGCTAGTTGATGTTCTCTCTCATTGATGTTTCTGTCTCTCTCCCTCTGACTTCCTCTTTCTAAAATCAATAAAGGAAAAAAATTATTTTATTTTATTTATTTTTTTCCTTTATTGATTTTAGAGGGAGAGGAAGGGAGAGGGGGATAGAGAGAGAGATGGAAACATCGATGAGAGAGAACAATGATTGGCTGCCTCCTGCACGCCCCCTTGCCCCCAATGGGGATTGGGCCCACAACCTGGGCATGTGCCCTGACTGGGAATCAAACTGGCGACCTCTTGGTGCATGGATCAATGCTCAACCACTGAGCCACACCGGCTGGGCAAAAAAATTTTTTTAAAAAAACCACAACATTTCATATGTAATGTACATTTGCATCCTCTCTCTCTTGAAGATCTAGCAATTTTAATCCCATATTCCCACATCTCCCTTCTTTTTTTTAAATCCTCACCCAAGGACATTTTCATTGATTTTTTAGAGTGAGAAAGTAACTTAGATGTGAGAGAGATCAGATGCCTCATGGGCCTCCAGGGGATCAAACCCACAACCTAGGTATGTGCCCTGACTGGGAATCAAACCTGTGATCTTTTGGTGTATGGACATGCTCCTACCGAATGACTGGGAATCAAACCTGTGATCTTTTGGTGTATGGACATGCTCCTACCGAATGAACCACGCCGGCTAGGGCCCACAGCTTCCCTCTTTAAACAAAACACAGGCACTTCCATTTGACAAAGTCCTCACCCTGCCCACTTTATTTACTTTCATTACTTAAGTGGTCCCTGAAGGCATGTTTGTCACCCTTGGTGCTTAAGCAAATTATACTGAATAAATTAAATTGGCAATTAATGCTTGTGTTTTACATTTTCATTTTATACATGCATTATATCCTTGTAACTAGATTGCAATAAACCACTCGGTGGATAGAATCCTGTTAATTATATTTCTTCTTTTTATAAAATGTATTTATTTATTTGAGAGAGGAAGTAAGCCTGGCTGTTGTAGCTCAGTGGTTGAGCATTGATCCATGCACCAAGAGGTCACCAGTTCAATTCCCAGTCAGGGTACATGCCCAGGTTGTGGGCCTGATCCCCAGTGGGAGGCATGCAGCAGGTGGTCAATTGATGTTCTTTCTCATAGATGTTTCTATCTCTCTCTCTCCCTTCCTCTCTCTAAAATCAATAAAGAAAAAAATTTAAAAGAAAAGAGAGAGGAAATAAGAGGGAGGGAGAGAGAAAGAAACATCGACTTTGTTGTTCCACTTATTTATGCATTCATTGGTCGATGTTTGTATGTGCCCTGACCAAGAATCAAACCTGCAACCTTGGAAAAACAGGGAGGACACTCCCAACAGAACTACCCAGACAGGGCCTGTATTTCCTTCTTTCTTTTTAAAAATCCTCATTGGGCCCTGGCCGATTTGGCTCAGCGGTTAGAGTATCGGCCTGCAGTCCAGGGAGACCCGGATTCAGTTCCCGCTAAGGGCATGTACTTGGGTTGCAATTTGTCCCCGGCCCTGGTTGGGTCGTGCGGGTGGCAGCCACTCGATGTGTCCCTTTCACATCGATGTTTCTCTCTCTCTTCCTCTCTCTCCTTCCCGCTATATCTGAATAAAAAATGGAAAAATGTCCTCGGGTGAGGATACAAATAAATAAATAAATAAAAATAAATAAAAATCCTCATTGGAGGATATTTTTCCATTGATTTTTAGATAGAATGGGAGGGAGGGAGAGAACGAGAGAGAAAAAGAAAGGATGTGAGAGACACATCCACTGGTTGCCTCCATCACACTCCCACCAGGGCTTGGGAGCCAACCTGCAACTGAGGTAAGTGCCCTTGACTGGGAATTGAACGCATAACTGTTTAGTCCAAAGGCTAAAAGTGGCCAGGGTAGGCCCTGTATTTCTTTTCTTTCTTCCCTTTTTTTTTTTTTTTGTGGTACATGCCCCTAGCGGGAACCAAACCCAGGACTCTCTGGTCCGCAGGCTGACGCTCAACCGCTGAGCCAAACTGGCCAGGGCTGGCCCTTGTATTTCTTTAAATCACTTCTTGGGGGTCATACCTCTCAATAAATACTAATATGTTTATACAACCTTTCTCTTATTCCCAGAGTTGGCCTTGACCACTGTGAGTGGAGTTCCTCTGGTTTGGTCCGGGGATTCCTAAAATTTAATCATCCTGATTCCTTCCTTGGGCGAAGCCGAGACCTGATGACTTGTCAGACGAAGAAATTAAAATTATTTCCTGATAACACAAGCACACAGTTTGAAGTAGGTTTACGCAGGAAGTCACCCTTTCTAGTGCAAAGGAGAAGCTGCAAAGCTCTCGCCGAGGTGGTCGAGTTTCCAGCCAGGATCCCGGGAAAGGTGGAAGGAGCTGGGAGAAGTTCACGCAGGAGTTCATCGGAGCTTCTCGGACGGGGATTCGAATGGAAGGCGTCTCGGTCGCCCTCCCTAGGGGTCTGGCAACCGCGGGCGTGGTTCCTGGTACTGCCCCCGCGCAGCTGTCATTGCGATAAACTTCAGTACTCTCCACAACCAAGCCTGGGGACTTCCACGTTTCTGGGGGCTCTCTCCCGCCCCCACCCCGCTAATTTCCCTCCGTCGTGGCGCTGTCCCGTCTCCTTGTTGCTCCGGTCGCCCCCTTTCGCAACGCCGCAGCTTTCAGCATCAGTTCTCCCAAGAGGGCGGCGGAGGGGTACGTTTGGGGGTTCCCCTGTTCTGCTCTCCGAGCCGGGGAAGGGGAAGAGCGAGAAGGAGGCTCTGTTGAGTGGGCCCCGCAGAGACAGTGGTCTCCAGAGCTTTGGGTGCCGGTCGCCCGGCGAGGGGGAGCGCCGCTCCGGTCCGCGCCGCCAGTGTCTGAGGTCCAGCCCCGCCGCACCGCGCGGAGGCGCCCGGGGCTCCCCGCCCCCGACCTGGCGCTCCCGCGCTCCCCCTAGCGGCCGCCGCGCGGCCTCACTCCGTCCCAGGCTCGTCGGCGGCGCAGCTCACGTGACCGCGCTCCGGGCCTGCGGCCGCTGTCGGTTCCCCCAGTCACCGAGCAAGAGGGAAGAAACAAGATGGCGGCTGAAGGCGATCCGGAGTGGGGCCCCAGCAATTCGGATTGAGCCTTCTCCCTCCACCCGCTTCCGCCGGCCGGGCCCCTCCCGCCCGGCCCCGCGGGCCTCCCCACTCGGCCCCGGCGCCCCCCACCGCCACCTCTCCGCCCGCCCCTCCCCCTCCGCTTTCCTTCTCCCCCCGCCTCAGCTCCGACATGAGGGGCCGGCGGGGCAGGCCGCCCAAGCAGCCCGCGGCTCCCGCTGCGGAGCGCTGCGCCCCGGCCCCGCCGCCGCCGCCGCCTCCCACGTCCGGACCCATCGGGGGGCTCCGCTCGCGGCACCGCGGCAGCAGCCGGGGCAGGTGGGCCGCCGCCCAGGCTGAGGTGGCGCCCAAGACGCGGCTGAGCTCGCCCAGGGGGGGCAGCAGTAGCCGGAGGAAGCCGCCGCCGCCGCCGCCGCCGCCGGCCCCCCCCAGCACCAGCGCCCCGGGCCGGGGGGGGCGAGGAGGCGGGGGCGGCAGGACGGGGGGCGGGGGCGGCGGCGGCCACCTGGCCCGGACCACCCCGGCCCGGAGGGCCGTCAACAAAGTGGTGTACGATGACCACGAGAGCGAGGAGGAGGAGGAGGAGGACATGGTCTCCGAGGAGGAGGAGGATGGCGACGCCGAGGAGACCCAGGATTCTGAGGACGACGAGGAAGATGAGATGGAGGAGGACGACGATGACTCCGATTATCCGGAGGAGATGGACGACGACGACGACGACGCCAGCTACTGCACGGAAAGCAGCTTCAGGAGCCACAGCACCTACAGCAGCACCCCAGGTACCACCCAGCCCAGTGCCGCAGACTCCTTCCCACTCCTCTGCCTCCCCCATGCTCACCCGCTCTGGTCTCCCCCACCCCCACTTCTCCCCGTAGAGGGGAAATGCGACGTTACCTCAAGTGGCAAAAACACTAGATTTACCAGAGGAAAGAGGCTCATTGTTCAAAATGGAGATTGCATTGTTGCAGTTTGCAGGCCACACTCTGGCTCGCTCTCTTTCTCTGCCCTCATCCCCCTCATTTTCCTCTTCAAAATGTGTGCCAGTGCAGTGTCTCTGTGGGGCAGGATCCAAACTTTGGCCCCGTTGCATTCATTTGTCTCCCCTTGTGTGGGTTTGGTTTTTTGGAATGAAAGAAGCTTCTTGTTTTGCAGACCTCTCTGCATTTCTAATGTGGTTTCTTTTAGATTTTTATTATATATCTGTTCCTTAATGTGGAATTGAGGGTTCAGACAGGTTGTGGCGCACACACACACTCACCAGGCTTCTCTTGCCACCCCTAGCCTTATGGTTTTAAAATTGTGTTGAGGAAATGGGTCAGTTTGGGTTAGGGGAGCCTTATCTGGTCCTGTGTTTGTTTTTATTCTTGAGTGCTAATGGACTCGTGCCACAGTTGCTAGTGAATGGCTGATTAAAAAGAAAAGCAGAAAACCAAACAGAACCAAAACAAACGTGGTCATCTATCCCATTCAAAGCCATTTTAGTAAGATCCAAAATAAAAGTAAGAAATCTTAGGAACATAGGTCTTACTGATTTGATCTTTTTGCTTTGCCCGAGAAACGCAGTTTCGTGTCACCTGTTGCAGGACACGTAGAGTTGATCATGCAGACGTAATTGCTGGAGATGAACTTTTGGACCAACTTCTAAGTTACATAGCAAAAGTATAGAGGGATTTATTAGAAAATGACTTTTTGTTTTTATCCCATTTCGAAGTATAAAAATCTTCCTGGATCTGTAAAGAATTTTCTTCCGGGTGACTCCTAATTTCTCACAAAAGTTTCTCTAGGCTGATACTTAAATGCATTTTTTTTTAAAGCACACATTTGCTGCTTTGTATTAAATACGTAGTTGCATCTTACTCACTTGTGAAAAAAGCATTATTTGTAGCAATAACCTGCAAGATTCTTTTCTTTAAATTTTGTTAATCTGGATTAACTAAATTAGAATCCAATTTTAAGAGTATTTACAAAGTAAAGTTTATGAGGAAATAAGATCTTAAAGAAAAGTGTGTCACTTGTGTTTTAATTTAAGAGACTAGGGTAGTAGAAGTGGTTAAATTTAAATGTTTCCATTTAAAAAAAAAAATGCTTAAATACTTATCGGAGGAGTATGAGTATTAAGCCAGGTGTAATCCCATTTAGATCATCCTAACAGCAAATGAAAAAGTCACTTCTTTTGCCTGACCATAGGGACCTCTGCCTGCCTTTAGGGGTGGGGAGTGGAGTTTGCTGGATGGAGAGAATGAAGGGAATGAATCAAGTGTCAAGTATTTAGGTTTTGTATATAGAGGGGACTATGTCACTTTTCATTTCTTGCCAACTTGATTTTAGTATATTTTCTACAGTTTTTACTTTAAGAAATCACAATGTGGTTTTTTCCACCAAGAGCTCAGAATTGCAAGACCCTTGGAGACTGAGTTACACTATCCCAGGACATTTTGGCAGGGCAGTTCAGCTGTTCATTTCTCTTTGAAGGCCTAGCAAATAATACTTAGGATTTATAACTGTGTATATGCTGAGTTAAATTACAATTTGCAGTTGGGTTTCCTTTTTCTAAAAACATTTATTGAGCATTTATTATGTGCCAGGCCCTAAGCTAGGGGCTTGGGAAAATAAAAGGAAAGTGATTACAATACTGATGTAATTAGTACTTGTATATTTATGTACTTACATGACATTTTTTTTCCTTAATAACACTCTGTTATGTATACTTATCCTATCTTTATGAAATTAAGTATTTTATGTCTTTATATGAATCTTCTGTCCCCTACATTTCCTAGCAAAGTGTATTGCATGTAGCAGTAGCAGGTGCTCATCAAAGATTGGTTCCATAAGTTATTGTCAGTAGGTGAGAACTTGTAATAGATGAAATTTTGATAATTCGTTACTGGGTGCCATAAATCCTAAATACTTTGGATTTGGAATACTAAAAATTGGTCTAATTAGATGTTGATAGGCAGTTTGACCAATAAGTATTTTTAGTAGCAGAGTTAGTGTGTTTTGCTTGCCAGGCATTTTCTTTTCTTTATTGGATGTGGTGTTTACTTGTTGGATGTTTTACTTTTGAGACACATTATTTCTCAAGATTATGGTAAAAGGGATAATACATTTTGTGTTCTAAAGTTTTAGACTATACCCATTTGCCTAGAATGAGTTAACAGTGCATGACAGTGGGTTGTTTGGACTAAGCACTAGTTTCATTAGTTTAATTTTTGTATGTACTTCCAGATAATAAGGGCTGGAAGAAGGCTGTAAATGTGTATATGTGTATATGCTTTGGAAGTAAAAACATTCTAGGGCTGGTTCAAGATATTTCAAAAACAACATAAAGAAATGTGATTGGTGGATTTGAATCTTGCTGTACTGTCAAGGCTAAAAGAGGAATATACTTTATTGGTAATTTAGATTAATTTTTGCAGACTAGAGTATTGGCTTAAATGCTAACATTAAATTCTTAGTATAAGAAATAATGTATTCATTTATTGAGTACTTTGTAGGTGATATAACTGTTAATGATTCAAAGACATTGGATGATATTACTAGCTTAATTTCTAAAATCAGATTTAAAATGGTTTATTCACTGGAGATTAAATGTTTTCCTTTTATGGAGAAAAAATTTAAATGGGTATGTAAGATACTCACATGACATGTTGCTGTTAATACAAAATTGAAGCCATCTAGTTTTGCTTAAACTGGTCAAATTCAAAGATATTTCAGCCTATAGGGTTTTCTTTCTTTTTTTTAACTTTTTAAAAAATTGATTTTTAAAGAGAGAGGAAGGGAGAGAGAGAAAGAAATATTGATGTGAGAGAGAAACATCCATTGGTTGTCTCCTGTACGCACCCTGACTGGGGACCAAATCTGAAAACTGGGCATGCATGTGCCCTGAGCGAGAATTGAACTGGGGCTTTCAGTGCCCAGGACACACGCAGCTCAACCATCTGAGCCTCACTGGTCAGGTCTAACCTGTAGGTTTTATGACATACTTTGCCAATACTTTGAAGGATTGTATTTGAATAGACATTTTGTAAAGTTCTGACAGCACCTTAAAATTTAGCATTTGCTAATTTAAAAAATTTAAATTGTAATTGAAATAGAATATTTCTTGCATTTAACTTGTATGGGACTTCAGAGAATACTTAGTTGGCATTTTGAAATTAGGAACCCCTGGTGACTACAGAAAGCAAAAGCTCTGGTGTTACTCTGGGAGAGTTAGTAATTTATGTCCTCTAAGGATTATGACGGTGGAGATCAGTGGCATAGATGCCATGAATGAACTGTAGATTTATCTGCAGCAGAATTTGTTATTGGTTTAGCAATATTTATTTCCATCAGTGTCAACCAAATATTTTCTTAGTATATTTGTAATTTCTGGTTGCTACAAGTGAGGTACAAAGGGTAGTGGAGGTTTAAAGGAGGTTGGGATCATACTCTACTGGTGAAGTTGGTGTGTGCATATGCTTCCTGAATGAGCATGTGGACAATGAGGATGGACAGGTGGAGGGAAGGAGCAGCATGAACGAAGGCACTGATTTTAATGTGTGGGCAGTCTTAAGTAACCCAGTTTAGCAAGAGCTTGAGCTTGAATAGGAAATAAACTATAAAGCTCCATTGCTGGGCAGGACCTACACAACCAGGCTGGAGCATTTATATTTTTCCTTCCTCATCTGTGGGGTAAGAATTGGACTAGAGCAGTGATCCTCAGTCATTTTTCACTTCTATTTATTACTGAAACACCCAAGGGATATATTATATTTCCATCAGCATCATGCAGAAGCATGAAACAAAACCAAATCAAATCACAAAGATGCTATTAAACCACTGGTGCAGCCAGCTCTTCCCCCCCCTCAGATTGAGAGAATTAATGGAGGAGATAGTTTCTGGAGCACATCCCCACTAATTTATTTCAGATCTGTTTTATTTGTGGGTGTTGGGGATCAACCAGAAGATTTGGGAACAAATGGGATATGATTTCAGTGGGACATTAGGAAGTCTAGCCATAACTTCTGTTCTGCAGGATGGATTGGAAGAGGACAAGATAGCTGGTGGGGATCTGGATAGGTTTTGTAGCCTTGGATGGAAGATCAATTCAGGAACTACTTCACAGTTCTCCAGGCCTCAGCAACATCAGAAGTGTAGACAGAGAGAGGAATGCATCAAATGCCTCTATAGGAATGATTGTGCTTTGCGGGGGGGGGGGGGGGGATGTCGGGAGGAAGGTGTTTAGGAGGGGAAAAGGAGAAACATCGGTAACAAAAATTAATTAATAAAAAAAGAATGGTTGTGCTTTTAGTAGCAGTAGGAATTAAAGGGTATAAAGGAAATTAATGAGATATGTATTCAGTTTTAAGTATCTGAAGAAGTTAAACATGATAATTAAAAGAAAGAAAATGAGGGCCCCAGAAAGTTATTAAAAAGTTGGGCAACATGATCTGTGAGAGCAAAGAGGTGTATCTGAGGTATGCAATAATAAATAGTCTTGTGTTCATGCTCATCTACTCTTCCTGTGTATATGTGTATTGAAATGTGTTTGTGCAGCAGGACTGGGAATGTTATGGGATGACGGTTTCTTCTTTCCTCAGTCCTCAAGACCAGGTGTCCTCTCTGTGACTGCAGATCCTTGGAGGTGGGATACAGGGGTGATGAAGGTGGTAGTAGTGGTGGGAGACCAGTAGTAATGTGGTGACAGGGCAGGTGCAAATCCTAGCAGATGCCCTCTTTGTATTGAACAGATTCCTCCCTCCCTGTTCCTTAGCCAGGCTCCAATCCCACTTCTTGGGAG